TAATCTCAAGGGAGGAGGAAATAATAAAGGAATAGAAGGAAATATCTATTCTGATTAAAATTAGTAGTGTTTGGGAAGAAATAATGTTCACTTGTAGGATCAGTACTCACAAATGTTCAATTTAAATTACTGCTCATAACTGCTTAGGAAAGAATAAAAAAACTATTAAATAAATAACACTAATAAATCAAATAATAAACAATAAATAAATAAAACTCACTAAGAACTGAAATTTGTGTAAAACACGATTTATTCATTCACATTCCTTCACGATCACAAAATACGAAGAACAGAGAGATTTTTCAATTTTTCCAGCACGGTCTTATGCAATTTTCTTCTTCAACGTTTATTTTTAAAAGATTGAAACTAAACATTAAGTTCACTAGTTTCGTGGTCCGCTTGACCAGTTAATATCTTTCAATTAGTAAGGTTTTTAGTTGAGATAAAAAAGTCAGTGTCACAAGCGGGATTCGAACCCACGATCTTCGGCTAGATACGCCGCTGCTCTATCACTTGAGCTCGTGACCTCGATCGACTCAGTCACTAACTTCCCATCTCAACCCCACCTTTATTTAATATTAAGCACAAATATTAAGCATCAAAAATAAAAATTCATTGAATATGGTCGAGGGGTTCTTTAGATGATGAAAATGAAAGTGTCCAATTTTTCCATTCGATAAGGTCAAGGTAAAATTGAAAACAGTTGTCCCTCTTTTTCCACGGGTTTCAAGTCAGTGAAGGTGGAAGTAGAGAGAAGACAAAAGATTAATGGAAAATTCAAAGAACAATCCTCTGTTACAAATAAATTATAATTTAAATTTAAATATTAATAGTCTCTCCACCAATTAAACAAACAATATTAGCTAAATTAAAAGTATTTCTCTGGTCTGGCGTTAGTTTTTCTCCAAATCTTACTAACCCGGTTTAAGGACAGTGTGATGTACTTACTTCTTAGGGGTCCTTCTGGTTGGACACTATTATTCTAATTAAATGAATAATTAGGGATTCAAAGCGACTGAGTAATTAAAATCCTCTTTAGACAGTTTAAAAACACATTTTAACAAATGAGAAATACAGGCAGAAGTTGAGACGCAGATGGATTAATTAACGTTTAGTAATAAATTACCTAGGGACGAAATTGGAGGATTGCCCAGAGTAAAGTTACATAGTAACCACCTGCTTACTCCATCAACCGAAATTCTTGGAGGTAAAATACATACCCATTTATGAGAAAATATAAGGAAATTGTAATTAGATAATTGAGCGAAACACCGTCCGCTGTTATCTGTAAAAATGATATGAGCGTTGCATTCGGCACTTCTCGTTTATCATGATATATGCATCTAGGTTTCGGGTGTTAATTTTAATGATCAAGCCTCTCTCTAATTTACTCTCGAGATAAACGACTCGACCACAATCCGTCATATCTTGATGTGAACTTCTTGGAAGTCGACGACAAATAAGAGAGTGAATTATTTGATTTCTATTATTGCGCTACATAAAAAATTTAGCAAAAAAGGTTGTTTGGCCTTGAATACATATATAAGTGTATCTCTTTTCTTTTGGGCCCAACCCTGAATTCGGAGAACCGAAAACAAGGTCCCAGAGGTTTTTTATGATCGGACCTGACTACAATTATTTAATTTATCAATCAGGCACTTTTTTTTAATATAATCCATTCAAACCAAAATAAATACGAGACCAAAATATTAATTCAATTTAAATCTTTTATTACTATTTATTTCCTAATAAAATTACAATTTCTTTTATTAATTTTTATTTTTAATTTTAAGAATCTTTTATTCTATAATAAACCTTATTTCAAAATCTACAAACATTAATTTTAAAATCGAATTTAATTATCGTTTTATAAAGAAAAGTAAAAGTACCGGAAATTATTATTATTGTTATTATTATTAATTTTGACCACCAATTAGAAAATACAGTTAAGATTTTAACATAACTTTTAAAATCAAATGTTATCTTTTTTAGTTTTCTTTACAAAAATATATTATATTATAGATACACGACTCGGAAGACCACAATCCACCGTCACAACCCTTTTTAAATTAAAGTGCAGTTATTATTTTTAGCTTTTTTGACGTCAAAATATAAAATTTACTTACTTGAATTTTGTGCACACCAAATTTTTCTTTATTACAAATAAAGCTCTTTAACCCACGGAGTACAGAATGGGAATTGTTTTTTTTACTGAAAAAAATAGCCTCTTCCTAGCGGTACATTCAAATCTAAACGTGACACCTAGATCGATAAGCTACTTTTGCACTTAATGGAGAAAAAAACATGTATAATGAATTCCAGAAGATGTAACTGAAAGACTAAAATACGTGACTTTTTTAACAATAGATTTAATTCCATTATATTTCCTGGTCAGATTCACCAAATAACTTCTTTCAATTAATTAATCTTTATGTAATGTATTGGTTGAAATGAAAAAGTTAGTGTCACGAGCGGGATTCGAACCAACGACCTTCGGCCAAATACGCAGCTGCTCTACCGCTTGAGCAATCTTGACTTCGATCCGCTCGGACACCAACTTCCCACCTCAACCTACCTTTCGAATTTTCCCTCCTTTTTGCAAATGAAAATTCGATTTAAAGTGAATAAAATCACAAGTCCTAACGTAGGAAACTTTGTTTAATTTTCATATTTCTCTTGCACTAGTTGCTATAGTAATAAGAAATTATGGATATTTAAAAAAGTGAAAGTGCTTAAAACTACATATTTAGAGTTTTTCTCAAATTGCATTAATCAAGATGTGAAACTACTATAAATCGATGTATAGCATTTCAAGTTTATTTGAACTTTTCCCAAATCAAGTGTAACCTTTTAAAAAACAAATGGTGCCCTTTCCAAGTCGTAAGCAACCCTTTCCAAGTCAAACTTAACCCTTTTCGTATGAGTTGAAACCCTTACCAAAGCACATGTAACTCTTTGCAACTCAATTGTTACCCGTTTTATTTCTATTGTCACCGTTTCCAATTCAATTTACAGTCTTGGAAAAATGTTTACCTTACTGTGGAATGAGCGACTGAAGTCTGGGACTGTAAAAGATTAAAAATATAACAATAAAATATTCGTGCTAATAACAGTTTTGAAATAAAATTGAGCTATTTTTTCCGGTGAATTCTGGGGCTTCAACTTCACCCACATCACAGTACGATAACATTTTTTCAAGGGGAACAATTGAAATTAAACGTGTACAAATTGAGGTGTAAAGAGTTACGGGTGCTTTGGAACGGTTTCAAAATTATTTTGAAAAATTATCCTTTGACTTGGAAAGGGTTACATACGATACGTATAGTTGTTTTGTAAATGATTAGACAAGTCTTGGGAAAGGTAAAAATATACGCAAAAAGCTATACATTTAATAATTTTCAAGCATTATACTATTACATAAAATACCTATTTTTCCTGAGCGAATGATAAAATATATTTTTGATTTTATTTGAAATTTTGTCTCTTAGATAACAAGTCAGAATAAAATGACATAATGAAAGTAGGTGCTTTTGGAGTCGTCTGTCGCCGAAACGGTCCCCTTAGGCTTCAGAAAAAGTTCAGAGGCGACGGCGGGGATCGAACCTACGACCGCGGGATCTACTAGCCGAGAGTCTGGAGCCTCTTAACCACTCGGCTACCGCGGCCCCCCCCGCAGAAACGGTTAAGGCGTTGAACTGCAATTCATCGCTGAGAGGTAAAGGTCCCGAGAGTAAAATTTAATTTTTTAAACACAGGCTCTTAGAAGATGCACTTCAACTTAGTACTTGAGATACCCTAAAAAAAAAAAAAGATTTCCAATGAAGGTAAATATTACGGTAGCATAGAACGCAGTAAACTAACATTTTTTTTAAATTTCTTTACAAAAAGAATTAAATTTTGAGATTTTTAGGCTAAAGTAAGTCGGAAATCATGCATTTACATAAAGGCGGGTTAGAAAACAGTGTCGTCACAGTATTACCGACTTCCTAATTGACTCCCGTTGTTTACCTCCTGTATGCTCAAGAGGATTACGGTGCTTGGCGTGCTGATGATATTCCCACAAAAGAGGCTACCGGATGTGCTGATAATAGCTTTCGGTTGATCTTACTAAAACAACAATTGATTCTCTCCCCCAGAATACTCGATATTCCTCGGGGCGGGATTATAAGCAACCCTTACTTTCACGCTAATAAATTACTTTTATTCTCCAGACGACATACACTCACCCCAGAGTACCCGATATTCCTCGAGGCGGGGTTATAAGCAGCCTCTTCCTTTCACGCTAATAAATACATTCATTCAAATAAATTAACACCAACACAACACTCGATAGAAAAATAGAAGTCTGGTCACATTCACTCCCCCACAGTATTCCATATTCCTTGGGGCGGGGTTGTAAGTAACTCCTTCCTTTCACGCTAATAAATTACATTCATTCAAATAAATTAACAATTCAAACAAATTAACACAACTCTCGATATAAATATAGAATTCTGGTCACATTCACTCCCCCAGAGTATTCGATATTTCTCGCTGCGGTGTTATAAGCAACCCCTTCCTTTCACGCTAATAAATTACATTCATTCAAATAAATTAACACCAACACAACACTCGATAGAAAAATAGAAGTCTGGTCACATTCACTCCTCCAGAGTACTCGATATTCCTCGGGGCGGAATTAATATTTAAAAAAAATAATGATAATAATAACGGTTTGACGAGATAATGCACGCATACATTCTTCTTCAAATATAATAAAAAAGAATAATTTAAACACCAACCATATCTATTACCACATTTGTGGGATAAGCTGGTTTACTCGTCAGCACAAGGTCACATGCAAACGAAACGATGCTTAAAATTTTACCGTCTTTTTTCTAAAAATTTTCCTTCAAATTTCTGTTATTAGTAGAAAATAAATATTATTTACACTAAGAATACTGATGTCAATTTCAGAAGACTTGTTCTTCCTTTCGAAAAATTACTGTATTGGTACTTACACGGTGAAGTGATAGACGAAACATTTCCACCCTGTAGGCCTCTCGAGGAAATTGTAAACTTTGCCTTGAAAAGTCGCTCCTGCTCTTCGGTGCTCTTTCCCCAGGTAGCGGTTCTCGAATTTCCTCTCTTGGAGCAGCGTCCTCGGGTCGAGGCCTATAAACGATTCAGAAAGAAAAAAAATGTGAAAAGAAAGAAAATGTCATTTACATTCAAAATTTCGAAGCGATTTTCCAATTTTTGATGATTGGTAAAGGAATCAAAGTCGTTAGTCGCCTAAGCGAGAATATGCATTTTTCCACCCCAATTGAATAAAATGCAAGGATTAATTATTTATGTATGAAATGTATTGTCATTGCATTAAAAGATTTTGAACATACTTCTATTAAACCGACTCAATAACGGTTTGCCGCAGTGGCGCAAGGTTGGTAAGGCAAAGTAAATTAAAACTTCATAAAGTAAACACGTCGACTGCCTATTTCGTTCATTTTTAATCGCACTCAAATGATTAAGAATCCTTGTGCTTTTGCTGTTTGGTCTTGCAACCTGTTGTATCGTATTAAAACGTATTATAATATAATCGGTTTTTAGATGGCCTGGCTGAATGTCCCTTGAATAGATAAAATTATCGAATTTAATATTTTTTAATCACGTTGTAAATTTTTTCACCTTTTTTAAAAATATTTGCTGTTAGGATAGATCAGAGCTTTGAAATTTTAAATGGGAACGTATATGCTTTCACCTACTGTTTTAAATAATTCTGTGCACTGAAAATGATGGAAGAATCAGATTTTAAATTGGTCACTTTTCAACACAGATATCTAAGCATCTCTTGATACCACAATTTAACACAAAAGCCCAATACCAGCCATTTTTGGCCTGGAATATAGAACTTTAATTAATGAAATAAATTGCCAAGAATTAAACTACTCAGACTATCCAGACAATTTAACGGAGAAGCTATTTACAGCGGATAGGTTAGAAATTTTTTCTGATTTGTGTCTCATTTTTACTGACGGCTCAAAATTTAATGGATCCGTGGGATGTGTTTTTTATGATAGCCTTAATGACTATCATGAGAAGTACCTCTTTCCGAATCTATACAGCTCTTTCACAGCAGAAGGACCCTTAAAGCATTGCAATATTCTTCAAATAATCGGAATGTAAAAATATGATATAATGACTGATAGCTTGAGCACGGTATCTCAATTCCGCAATTTTAAGAACAACACCAGACACGAGTACTTTCTAGTAGAAATTGTGAGAAAAATATATTATTTAAATGAGAAAGGAAACCGTGAGCATATTCTGGGTGAAAGGGCATGCAGGCATACATTTCAACGAAAAAGTAGATCATTTAGCCAAGTTAGCAACCACTGAAGGAATTCCCTAAGGGGTTCAATTGACCAGCGGAGATATAATAAGCCAGTAAAAAAAACTCATTGGAAAATGGCAAAAGCTGTTCGAAACTGCTAGGGTAGGAAAATATTACCGTGCTTTATTCCCAAAAGAAACCACGGTTTGAGGAAGGAGGCAAAGCCTTTTTCTCTTCAATAACGCGCTTAGGACCGGCCATGGCATATATGGAGCATATCTATACAAAATTAAGTCCAAATCGTCTCTAAATTGCGCATCGTGTGATGTTGAGAAGAGCATCGAGCACTATTTGCTCGAATGTGTTGTATATGATGACCAAAGACAGCAGTTTCTGAAAATTATAAACCAAAAAAAAACATAAAGAGTCCATTTTATTTTAAGCTGCTGCTGCTCGAAAATAATATAGATGTATATGCCTACATTTACTTCTTCAGAAGATGCCCTCTGGATGTACAAAGTGGAGCAAAAGTTAGACCTGCTCGGATATCTTGGTATTCTGTTAAATTTACCTAAGTGTATTTAATGATATTCATTTATTTATTTATATTTCCCAAATTGCATTATTTATCTGTACAGTATTTAATTTATGGAATCCTGATTGTATTTTTATTAATATTTATAAGGCCACAAAAAAAGTTATTATGGCACAGAATGTGAACAACATGATAATGACTGGATAGTTGATTCGGCGGATTTTCTGTGCCCATGTTAAAAATTTCATCGTGTAACTGTATAATTTGTGGTGAATTTATCAGTCCACACGATGTATGGAAGAATATTTTCTTCTGTATTCCAAATTGACCCCTCTGAAAGGAACAGAACCGTATATGAAATCGCATTCCCGCAATCCCTAGATAACATCAGAAAAGCATGGTTTAAAATTATATGCTCTGAGTACATCTCTAATCCTCTTTGAAAAACCCAAAGCCCTTTTAGTATTTCGAAGGGGGAGTGTGGATTTTCGGGACCGTTAAAAAAAAATTTATTCTTCGTCAAAACGACGTAACCGGCTTTTTGATGAACCTCCAATAGATCTCATATTGTGAACAACACGAATCAACGATTCGTGGTTAATCCGGGAGGGATTGGGAAATTTTTGGGAATAAAAATCAACTGTAAGAAGAGAAATTCCGACATTTTCAGTAAGATTATAATACCGTATAGGGACGAGAAAACGCATCCTTCAGCTTATGTTGGACTAACTGATAAAAACGTATTGAAGAATTTTTAAAGTTCATGGAGATAAAGAAAAATTGAAATTTAGTTATAATGCTTTTCATATTGTCTAAATCCATTAAGACAAGTTGGGTAAACAATATCAAAACTCCTATTAGGTTTCGTGGTCCGATTGACCAAATAAATTCTTTTCAATTAATTAAGGTTTTGGTTGAGGTAAAAAGTCATTGTCACGAGCGGGATTCGAACTCACGATCTTCGGCTAGATACGCCGCTGCTCTACCACTTGAGCTATCGTGACCTCGAACCACTCAGACACTAACTTCCCATCTCAATCCCACTTTTTGAATTTTCCTGTCTTTTTGCCATTTTTCAAATGTCGTGTAATCGTATTGGATTCTCGGCGACAAATGAAACGGCCTCGGAAAGCTTTAGTGAAGCATCCATCATTTTGCTTATTACATCTATTAGGTTTCGTGGTCCGATTTACCAAACAAATTCTATCGATCGGCCGGTCGCCGAGAATCAAATATATTACACGACATTTGAAAATGGCAAAAAGGAGGAAAAATTCAAAAGGTGGGGTTGAAATGGGAAGTTGGTGTCCGAGTGGATCGAAGTTGCGATAGCTCAAGTGGTAGAGCAGCGGCGTATTTAGCCGAAGGTCGAGGGTTCGAATCCCGCTCGTGACACTGCCTTTTTTATCTCAACCAAAACCTTAATAAAACATTAATTAATTGAAAATATCAAAACAATTGACAAAACAAAATCAAGAAAAAAATTAAAAACCCTACTATGGAAAGTGTTTATGAATATCTTGGGATGAAGCAGTAGATGCGCACGGTTTTAGTTAATAAGTGGTTACGTTTGTACATTTACATTTGTATGTTTTGAACATCTCGTCTTCCTGTTGGTCCTGATGTTCGAAATCATACAACCGTTTATTAACCAATAACGTGCCAACCCACTGCTGCAGACCCATCAACATCCCCGCCAAGAAATTCATAACCGACTAGCACTAAAACGGCAAATGAAAAGACAATAATAAAAACAAAATTAAGATAATTTTTTCAAGTTATGTGCCATAGCTTTGTTATCCTTTCTTTTTCCGCGTAAAATATCCTTTAACACAATGGATAAAAACCTCGTTTAAAATTTCACACTTGTACCGGCTCTGAAGTATCCTGACAATAAATATTTAAAGGGGGCGTCGGTGGCCGCAACGGTTTAGGCGTTGACACGGCGCTCATCACTGTAAGGTAAAGGTCCCGGGTTCGAATCTAGCGGCCCTGAATTCGAACCCGACATACTTATTAATGGGCTTTTTTTCAAAAACACCAGCACCGCGAGGGTTGATATAACCTCGGCTATTGCGAACCCTCGTAAAAAATAAAATAAAATAAATATTTAAGAAACGCGTAAAAATATAAAACTAGACAATAAATATTAAATACTTAATTGTTAGTTTTTCGATAACATCATCTGTTCAAAAAAATTCAGCTGTGCCATCAAAACACACCCTTTATTTGAGGGGCACTAAGCAAATATAATTTTAACAACTTTAAAGCCAGTCAATAGTCAAGTCCGATTATCGATAAACACAAAAATAAACTGCGCCCATCTTTATTCCTATCATTTCATTGTTCCAAATTCATATTCAGATTCTAATTAGTAGATTTTTAAATAGAGAAGAAAGACAAAACAACGGTTTCTCATTTTTCACATCTGTTTGATACACCGTTCATAAAACTCATGATGCTAATGAATTTCTCTTAAAGACCATATTACCGTTTTGAACAATTGAAAAAGAACAAATGGACTAACTGACAATTTATTCTTAATATGTATAAGAAAATCTGAAAGACAATATTAAAAATAAAGTTAAATGGCGTAGGCATAAGTTTAGAACAATCGGCATTTAATTCGAACGATATTAACGCTTTTAACGTTTAATTAATTTTGTTTATTAGTTCAAATGAGATGGAATTTGAGTAGTGTAGCGTGCCACAAGCGGCGGTTTTCTAATTTCGAGTTCGAGTGACACCCTCCGCATGAAACCTGCCAAACGCACGGGCTTCGGATTAATTTAACCGCACTTAAATTTTGATAAATTTTTGTGTTTTTTTTTCGGTTAAACCACTCGTGGTTAATCTCCTTTGGTTGATAGGTTTAATGAATTTTTCAACACGTAACGTCGGTCGAGGGATTTAGCCTCACCCCCTCCGGTGAGAATCAGCCACGTTGAATCCTCTTCCGGCCTTTTCCAAATCGCTGCAAAATTAATGAGACATTTTAAAAGCAAGGACGCTTTTCAGTCTTAACAAATAGCTGGTTTTCTTTGTGGTCAAATGTACACAAAAAATGGATGGTTAAGAACAGAGTACGTTTGACGCCTGGCGATACGTTTAATATTCATCTGGCAGGTAATACAATATTGTCGAAAAAGATATACAAGGGGGCGTCGGTGGTCACAACAATTTAGGCGTTGACACGGCGCTCATCACTGAAAGGTAAAGGTCCTGTGTTCGAATCCAGCGGCTCTGCATTCGAACCCGACACTTAGATATGGGCTTTTTTTCAAAAACACCGGCATCCTCAGGGTT